GGAGGGAGGGAGGGAGGGAGAGAGGAAGAGAGAGAGAGAGAGAGAAAGAAAGTGAGAAAGCAAGCCGCCAGGTCTGGGACCTGAACTGTGGTCAACCATGTGGGAGTGTCCAGTGCCTTACTATCACGCCACCTGCTGGTCCCCAATTCCTTATAACTTAAAAAAATTTTTATTTAAAAAGAGGGAGGGAGGGACCCTCAACAGGGACTCATGTCATGACCTCCTCCCCTCCCCCAGCCTTCTTAGACAGCTAGGATCACGGAGGCATGTGCCCAGTATGCCCAGGTCAAACCAAGAACTGAACACTGATCTTCCATCCAACTCCAACAATGCACAGCAGCAGTTCTGGGCAACCTTGCTAGGCCTCCTATTAGTCCATAGTGCACAATTCACTATTAGTGCACAATTCTGTGCACAGAATGGAATACTCAACCTTTGTGGTTTTGGGAGAAATAACCTTGAGATTACACAGCCAGGTATGTCCACAGGGGAGCAAGCTGGGGAGAAAAGCTCTGGGAGTCTCCAGAACTGTTGCTAATTGGGCCATTTCTTCTTGGGCAGAATGACGCTGGAAACAGGGTACAGAAACACAAGGTGACCCTAGTGTAGAAGCTGCAGGGTAAAGGGAAATCCCTACCACCATTTGGAGGATTTTGCACTGGATCTTATTCCAATTAAAGAGCTAACAGAAATGAGCTTGTCAGAGAGAATTTATGAATATTGAGTATGGACTGGGCAGGTGTTTCAGGGGTCAGGGGAGGCCTTGCAACTACAGATGAAATGAAAGAAAATAGTGGGACTCATTAGTTTTAAGACCCTCCAGCTTCATTAATTGTGAAGAATTCAGAGTTTCCATCTTTGAAGTTTTTGATCTCTGTGATCTGCCCTGCCTCTTGGACTTTAGAGAGGCTAGTCTTTCTAGGGCAGAATGGAAGCCTCTATCAGGCATGGTTGGGCAGGGGATAGCAGAGAGGGTACAGGTCTTTGTACTTATTTTTAATTTTTAATTTGCTATATGGCACGTGTGCTTGCCAGAAAGAGAAAGAGGGAGGGAGAGAAAGCAAGAACCCCCCCTTGGGATGGCCACACTGCAATCCCTTTTCCTCCATTCTTCTCTGGGATTCTGGGGATGCACACACACACACACACACACACACACACACAGACAGCATCCTTTGTAAGCCAGGATTCAAACTGGAGAGGTAGCTATGTGGGATCCAGCTGCCTTAACTGCCACACCACTGGCTGGCCTGTGCAGATCTTTTTGACTATGAAAACCAAGGTGCCAGAAGATGTGGATGAGAGTCTCTGTGGGTTTCATGGGTGACCTGGAGTCCACAGTATTTCCCGACCTCTGAAATATCAGGGTCTGCCATGAAGTGCTGAAACCTTCATCAACACCAAATTGGAAAGAAGAACTTTGGAGGGAATGCAAGAAGCTGCCCAGTGCTTATCTATCTAAATAGAGAATCTTGGGGAAAAAATTTAATTAGCTCCTTCAGACCAACCAATCTGAACCCATTAATTAAAAGGATTTGAGGCTGTTGCTTAATGGACTTGAATGTGACCTAGGTTTAATTATATCTGAACAACAATTTGCACCATCTCTCTGCCCTGCCGGCATCAGAATATCTCAGTACACATAAAATAAACACTTGGGCTAACTCTCCGAAGCATCACAATTTTAGAATGAAGCTTAAGCAAATAGCACACAATTTCTTGGCAATGATTTTTTTCTTCATACTAATTAGTATTGTAGGAAGTGCATTACTTAGAAATACCCAAATAACAGTTTTTTTTTTTTGAGTGGGGGGTCAATATGCAATTTTTGTCTTGCTTCCTGTGCACTCATTAAAATGGGACAGAAGTCTCAAGGTCAAATAGGACATTTGAAGTTTGAATGACAACAGAGCATGCACAAAGCGTTCACCACCAGCATTCTGTGCATTTCCACATGCTATGGCCTTGCCACACACTGGTACCTTAACCACACTAAATTGCTTTGCCCCTAATCTCCCACTTCCCTGTCATCTTGACTACTTGCAGGTTTTCTTTGCATGGAGGCAAGAGACACACTGCAAGGAAGTGCCAGGGCTCGAGTCTTCAGGAAGAAATGGGCCATATTTTATTTATGGTCTGCCTAGGCTTTAGAAACCCAGAAGCTAATGAGGCTATTCCAGGTGGCAGTCCATCTCCATGGCTGCACCTCCAGCTCTTCTAAACGGAGGGCTTACGTGCTCTAAAATGAAATTTCTGAACTAATATTAAGCAAGAGGGACCAGATGAGGCCTGATATGCTTTATTCACGACATAGGATTTGGACATCCCTACATATTGATAATGAGACCAGTAAAATCACATGGATTTTTCCTCTACATGAAAGGAGAAATGAGATTATTTTAAACAGGTAGGCAGAGTACTTCACAAAAGTGGTGTGGTGGTTAAGGTGCTGGACTCCCCCCCACATGGCTGACTGTGGTTTGAGTTCTGAACCTGATGGCTTAAAAATCACACGAAATACATATGTGTATACGCCCTAAACTCCAGGAGGAGAAGGGATTGCACGTAGTTACCTCCTCTGGGGTGATTTCTCACTTTCCCTCTCACTCTCTCTCCGGAGAGCACATGTGCCCTATGG